GAGAGAGAGAGAGAGAGAGAGAGAGAGAGAGAGAGAGAGATTCAGAATCCTTGCCAGTTGCTTCCAGAGCTGAGAAGACTTTAGAAAAAAATAGACTTTACAGACAGAGAGATTGATATCTTGTTTTGCCTAAACTCTTGATTTGCCAAAAATGATTTTGCAGAACTTTCTCTTTGTTCCTCGGGCAACAAGGTAAACCATCCTGTAAGCGTCACTATGAAACCATGGACAAGATTAACGTAAAACGACAACGCAATGTTATTCATTAAAAAAAATACTGAACGAAATGAATATCGCACAAATAAATCTTTAATTCAACATAAAATCCAGATCTATTCTTCCATTCAGAGCATTTATATAACACAAAGATTAACCTGTACGCACATATACGCACGTCCAGAACTTACATAATCAAGACATAATTTCATGCAGCGAGAAAACAAATATTAGATAGCAACGTCAACTGTAAAACTAATTATTAGACATGAAAAATAAAAACCATGATGGAGTTTCAAATCCGATTCGATCCTTGGCTGGAAGCAAAAATACCATGCCATAACGGAATGCTATATGGATTTTTTTTCTTCTCAACAGTAGAGATAGAATCCTTCAAAAGGGTAGGATCGATCAGCATTTTCAATCAACATAAAAAAGAGTAAAGGACCCACAACGTAATTCAAAGTTATAGTTCTGTGTAGGAGGATAACACTGTGCCAGATGTAGGCAGTAATCAAGTCTATTTCCTTTTGACTTCGTTTAAAATTTTTTATAGAACTCGTTCGATCGAATTTACGTTATTTCTTGATCTGGAAATAATTCACAGTAACTGTGGGCCAGGTTTCAACGAAATCATTCAGTAGAGATGGGAAGAAGATATTGATAATTATTTTTCAAATTGGGCAAACAATTCAAAATAAAAACAGGAAGATAGCTGTTAAAGATCTGTATCTCTTTTTTCGACAAAACAAAACATACGAACAAACAATAAAGTTATTGACAGCAAAACGAAAACAAAACACGACCTAGCTCACAACTCTAGATTGGCAACAATGTAATAGACACGACAACGAGTGTCCCTGAGTTAGACATAATTCTTATAGTACACTTGGACAGGTTTAATACATACAGAATTAATTCTTCATCTCAAATCACAGTCTTTGTTCCTTTATCTTTTTGCACAGACTCTCCAGATGTCTGCAGCCCGGGGCACAAATAATGCTTAGGGAGTGGTGTTTGTTTTTTTGTAGTTAATGTGAACAGTTTTAACTCATTGAAGACTCACCTTCCGGACATTCTTCAGCACTTAAAGATGCCTCTGTTTAGAGACATAACTTCATCATTAAAACATATTTTTCGACTTAGTTTTCTTTATTTGAAGCTTTAAAAGGCATGCAACAACATGCTTATCATGAAGTAAGGAAATTTTTATTTCGTATGCGTGTATGATGATTCAAAATGCGCAGAAACACTGCCTTTGTTCCGCTGCTGGCTGGATCTAGTATGTTTGTGTCCGCTGCGTTCTTAAAGAGTAAAAGTATAATTTTATGTATTTTCTGTTTATCAGATTTATTAATCGTCACACATTGTGTCGTAGAATATATCGTTTCTAACAGACTAGGCAAAGCCTGTCATTATTTTGCATTCGTCATATCTGACAAATACCTAGACACCCACAATTTGTCAAGGACTGCTCGCGGTCTTAGACTATTATTTGCTCTTCGTACAGCCTATTTTACTGTTCGTGTCAGAGAGAGTTGTTGGAAGACAATCGTAACTTCAAATGTTTACACACGCCTGCGGCTCTAAACTCGTGACCAGTATAGTCTGAGACACGTAGAAAGTGAAGGTCACAGTCACATCCTTTTCCCTAAAGGAGATTTGTGACAAAAGACATAGCAACCGGCCTCCGAAATGGAGACAATAAGCAGGCTAAAAAAGCCCCCCCCCCCCAACAACCAAGCTCAATAAAAACCTTTATAAAGCAAATTCATAATGTCAAATGTCTTTCCTTTTGAGCCTATGGCGAGAGAGCTCAGTAGCAGCGATTCGGTTAATTTAATCAAACTTGATTTTTCCTCCCAGGAAACAAGAGTTCCTATACAGGCAAGTACAGATAAATATTCCCATTCAGGGCTCTTAGACATCTAATAATAACACGTTAAAAGTTCACATGAGATGAATACATAACTTCAGCGTCACACAACTCACTTCCTGAACCCCAGCACAAGACATGACTGGAGCCAACACAATCACTCATCTCGAGTATACCATCAGTTTCGTCCATCTAAGTATGGGCAGATAACTATATACAATGTACATAATGGTGAACGGATCACACAGGGGAGCACCACAGAAAACTGAGAGAGATAGACTCAAAATATTTGCGAGTTTCTTGATAAAAGATGTAGTTCCGCCCCGTATAAGCTCTAGATTCGTCACACAAGCGGCGACCGCGATCAGAGTCTCACCAGCACCCAAAGAAAATATTTGTGGTAAAAACAATAACACACTGAAGTGAAGCATACGTTTTAACAGTCCATGATGCACAGTTAAAGAAAGCAGAAAACAAAATCAGTCGTGTGTAGGTCCTTTTGGTACGACACACAAAGATAATCCATACATCTCTAAAAGGGACGTACACTTATTCCAGTGGCGACTCTAATCGGACTGGCGTCTATGGTGTTGTGGTTAGGCACTTCGTTCTCGCACGCAGGCGACCCGAGTTCGATTCCCCAGAGGAGAGAAATTTTGATTAATCGAGTTTCTCGGTCTTTCTGTTGGGATGCTGTATCCCTCTCAGCTCGGGTTGGCCCAGACAGGCATAGTAGGAAGCCCGCCTCCTACATGGTATAAAAATAGTGCCGAAGAGGGGACGTAAAAAGACATATGAACAGAAACCTTAGTAAAAATGAAAGGCGCACATACCATCTGCCATTCCTTTGTAATAGGAGGGACTACTATTTTCGTACTAAAAGAACCCAACAGAAGATCTCATTATTACTATGATTACTTCTTTTTGTTTACCCATTTTTTGTCCCCAGAATCTTTTAGACTTGAAAATAACTTCTTCCTAAATCCAATTTGACTGTGAGCCACAAAAACAAATATGTTTGATGCTCAGACAATTGTGTAGCTCTGTGCCAAACTGGTTCCGTTTTAGAGAACACGGATCAGAACTGTCGCTGTCATGACGCGCAGATCTGACAAAAATCGGACCACTTGGTATAAGTGTACACCCCTTTTTAATGACGTAAGCACAGTTCATTGACAGCCGTCACAGTCGAGGGCAAGTGGGCAATAGTGAGTTGAAAACAGTAAAATATTGGCACAGATCATGGGACTTGAAACATAAACAAGGAAAATAGTCATGTTGTTTATAGAGCAAGCCGCCAGAATAATAAATAGATGGGACATAATTCAGTAAGAGGGTAGACATGAGAGCGTTGGCGATTGTGTGGAAGGAGAGATGGCAGATGTCCCCGGTGGGAACTAGCAAAGCCAGCTTCATCAATCGTAAAGTTTGGGACATTTTTTGTAGATGATTGAAAGAATGAATGAAAGATGACTGATTGAATAAATCAATGATTGAATGAAGCTTTAGGAGAATGAGTGACGGATAAGGGAATGAAAGAATAGATGAATTAGAGGATTAATGAAAGAATGAATGAAGAGTGAATGAATGAATGAATGAATGAATGAATGAATGAATGAATGAATGATTTAGTTAATGAATAAACCAGTAAATGAAAGAATGAATGCGTGAATAACACAATGGTTCGAAAAATGTTCTACAATAATTTTCTTTCGATATACAGAGCAGCCCCTTCCTTGAGCAGGAACATCACCACAATAACGGCGTACTGGAAGCTTTAGAATTCTTCAGTTCTTCTATCTGAGACCAGACGCCAGAAGCATAAAAGTCACAGGACGTGATGTCACTTGTCACGTGACGCGATGTCCGGTTGAACGTTGGCAATACCTTATGGCTTGATTGTTACACACGAAGAAACGAAACTTTGGAATCACTTTTTCAACATTCTCAGAATAGTGTCCATCTCAGAAATAAACCAGTGGCAGCGCCTTTGAACTGAGATATTGTCGTGTAAGTCACACACACGAGCGCACAATATCAGTGCGAGTCCAGGCCTGAGTTTGTCCGTCTCTGAAAGTGGCGCGGCGCAATTCTCGATTAGTTTGTCGTCTTTTTCTTCAAAATCACATCGTCATGCTCTCTCCGAGTAAGAATAATTCTGAAGTTTGTGTTTATTTCGTGTCTATCCGACACTCCATGACACCTCTAGCGTCTATCCGACATTTCTAGACACTTCTAAGCGTCTCTCCGACATTTCTAGACATTTCTAAGCGTCCGTCCAACACTTCTAGACACTTTAAGTATCTATCCGACACTTATTGCTTATAGTTTGTTTCTCAAATAATTCTTCAATGCCATTAGAAGTCACTGGACTTGAACATGTCTACCAAAAGGCGCTCGATTGGGATGTTGCCGATGGTTTTCCTGAAGAAGAGCTCCTCTATGGTGATACCGCTTACAACACGCAGGGAGGGGAGGAGGAGGAGAAGTTTCCCGAATCTGGAACAGACGAAAAAAATCAGTTTAGAATTATTAAAATTGTACAATGAAGTAATTTTGTTGTTACATTACGTTGAACACTTTCATACGAATAAAACAAGAAGCAAAAAAAAAAAAAAAAAGTTTTTAAAATACCCCCCTCCCCGAACCACCACCCCTGAACACAAACAAAAATAACTTTAAAAAAATAAGCCACCCCTACCCCCTATGACCCCCCTCAAAAAATTAATTAACTAATTGAATAAATGAATAATTAAAATTTCGGTTATCTGCAATATTTGATTATACGACCCTGAGTGAGTATAAGAATAAAGCATCTTTGTCAAGTTGAGCGTACTCTTACATATTTTTTACTTTTCTATGTCGCTGTGTATCTCTCTCTCCATCTTTCTCGCTCTCTTTCTCCCCATCTCTCATTCTCACCCCCCTCTCTCTCTCCCTCCTTCAAGCGCTTGCATAAATACACCCCCAATCACAAATACACAGACGCGCACATACACACACACATGCACACAACCACGCACGCGCGCATATTCGTATGCAAACGCACACACACACACACACACACATACAAACACCTTTCAACACCCGCCTATCATTTTCTCTTTGCTCACCCCCCTCCTCTCACACGAACACACTCACACATACACACACACAAATAAACACACACACACGTTCTCTCTCTCTCTCACACACACAAACAAACAAACACACACACACACACACACACAAACACACATACATCCACGGTACCCCTCCCTCAATCCCCTCACCTGAACGGCTGAGTAGGGTATGCCGTGCGGATGTACTGGTTCAGAGTGAGCTGTGCCTGGTCTTGTAGCGTGGCCACGGAGTGGAACTCTCGCAGAGTCTTCATCTCAGACGAGTTGTTGGCGAATACTGAATGGACAGAAAGAAAAGGAATGAAATGAGGGATAACAAGGGAGAGGGAAAAAGGTGGGAACATGGATGGAAGATGCAACACGAGAGAAAGAGAGGGGATGAGAAGAGGTAGATGTGAGAGGAGGAAAAAGGATGGAAGAAGGTAAACATAAAATTAGTCATAATAGTTTTGTTCATTAATTTACATGTATCCATACCTCTATTTATGCATCAAATCTGTTCCAAACGCGGGGTCAAAGTTTACTCAGTTTAGTAAACTGAGCTTTCTCTCACCTGTTAACTTTGACACAGTTTTGCAGACTGTGTTCTCATCCCTGTTTATTTTGACCCAGTTTAGAAGACTGAGCTTTCTCTCACCTGTTTACTTTGACCTAATTTAGTATACTGAGTTTTCTCTCACCTGTTTACTTTGACCTAGTTGAGGATACTGAACTTTCTCTCACCTGTTTACTTTGACCTAGTTTAGTATACTGAGTTTTCTCTCACCTCTTTATTTTATTAAACTGAGCTTTCTCTCACCTGTTTACTTTGACCCAGTTTAGTTAACTGAGTTTTCTCTCACCTGTTTTGAATAAGACGATGCCCTTGAGGCAGACATACTCCGTGGGGTCGACCTGCAGGGCCTTGAACTTGGCTATCGTCTCCTGCAGGGCCCTCACCTCGCTCATCACCGACACCACCTTCTCCGCCGAGCTCTGCTCTGACGTCACACCTGGAGGGAAAACAAAGATGGCCGGAATGGTAAACGTTTTCATTATGCCTCAATTGGCGCACTTTAGATCATTTTGGGAAGCGGGCTGATCTTATGCACAATCCGGACTGAGGTATATATATATATACATCCCAGGAGACTGACCAAGATTCTAAATAAAAAGAACACTTTTCTATTCTAGAATTAAACTCGTATTTTCTGCGAGAAGTTTCTCTTTGACTTAGTAAGTTAATTCAGATTTTCCTAGATTATCCCCCCCCCCCAAAAGAAAAAAGAAAATCACCGAAAAAGACCAACCGACCGAGAGGTGGAAAAATAGGCCTACTGTTCATCCCTGAAGATTAATCGCAATTATAACAACAGATCAATAATAATTCAGACGATAATCTTCATTCTTTTTTAAGATAAGAAGAGAAAAAGTGCTCTGTCTCCCTCTTGATCAATGTATGTGTGTGTGGTAGATGGCTCAGTCCACCCCTTATTGAATACCCCCGCCCGCCC